TACAAATCGCCTCATGTGCAACACTAGAGGAAAGACTGGGCGCTAAAATGATTTACTTATGTGTCAGCCAGCATACTGGCCATTATTAATTGTCTATTGACTCTGGCTTATTGAGTAGAGAGTAATGGTCTCAGCTTAGATCTTCGTGATCATTTCTGATTTATTGAGGCAGTGGTATGAACACTTGCTAGTTGATTTGGCCTCCACTTTCAGTGCACTGATTTTTGTTGCAGTAATTTTGCTTCAATGTTATAAAGTATGTACCTAATGATCTCTTCATTGAGGAACGTCACAAGTGCTCAAGAAACAAATAAGACTGGCGAAAGCATTTTGATTAATGATTAATGACCTTACCCTCGTAGTTTGAAAAAGTTAGATCAAAACACTTGTTTATTAATAATTTCGAGCACAGCTCTTCATCAGAATACAAAGCTAAAAATGTCACGATAAAAATCCAATCTTTGACTGCATAACTCATTGCAAAATATTTCCCGCCAAATATTTTTGCGCGCAAATTCTCGAGCAAATAGTACAATCAGGTTCAACCGTTTTCAAGATCTAACACCATGTTTGACCTAAAAATTAAATAAAGTGTTACACATCCAACCAACAAAAATATATCACTTTATAATACCTCGACCAATAATTTGAGGCTATTGCTTACATGCATTGTTAAAAGCTTATTAAAAAAAAAAACATTCGCAATCAACCTGCCTATCTCTACTGATATCAATATCACGATAGCCTAAGGTCAAATAGCCAACGCTAATATTCTTTTAACATTCATGTCACACCCCATGGTGAAACATCACAAAATCACAATGCGAACAAAAACACACACACAAACACATATTAGCTCATGAGTACGCGCATACATATTCATTATATATATCTTCATGAGTGTCACAAATGTGGCTCATCACATGATCGGCCATGAGGTCACGTTCGAATTGAGGACAGGCTTTCGATTCCTGATAAAGATCGACTCCGCAATCTTTCGATCTGGGTGATCTTTGGCCCTATACAGAATTCTAGCCTCGATGGGGGATGGAGTGAGGCCAATGCCAGGATGGCACTCTGTAAAGTGGTCACCCATAGGCGTGTCCTCTTTTCTGTTGGCGATATCCCGGTAATGCTCATTGAACCTCAACCGTATGGGTCTCTTGGTTTCCCCCACATACTCCGTCATGTCACCATTTTCCATACATGCCTTGCATTGTAACGAGTACACAACATTCTTTACAGTACACTGTCCTTCGAAACCACTCTTACAGATGTTGCAGCGGTTTCTGCCTGGACAGAGCGGCTGTGTAAAAGCTGTGTCAAAATGCTTTAATATGATCCTCGCACAAGCACTGAGAAACTTAAAGACTGGCGAAAAAATTGAAGTCAATTAAGAAAGAAGTTGCTTCATTAGGGACATCTCAAGATTTTGAAAAAAAAATCTTAACCCTATTCCTGGCGGGGGGGGCCTCAGGAGCCCCCCTGAGGTTTTTTGGTTATTTCTCCCAAACGCGTTGAGCTAGGAAGCTCAAATTTTCTGAATTTTCCTATAAGGCTTCTACGCAACATGTCTGAAAATTTTGAGTTGATCTGACCTCAGGTCAGGTCACCAGAGGCGGTTTGGTGACCCTACCTCAGAAAAGTTTGCAATCACGCCAGAGCTAGAGTTTTTGACCGATCAATTTCTTCTCTTCAGGCTTTAGTTAGGGTACCAGTATGTGCAATTTGTATATCTCGGAATTTTGATATCGGTGACCTAAGGTCAGGTCAATTTCGCGACCTCCCCATTATAAGTCAATGGGGGAAAAATCAACTCCCTGTTTTTACCACTAAAACGGGTCGGAATGGCCCCATATACCATACATGACTTCATATACGATCAACCTTCACTACCTTGAGGTCTGTTTTGCTGTAGGGCAGCCGTGAGGTCATGTGACGTCATCAAAGGTCACCAAAGGTTTTTGGCCAATAACTCCGTACAGGAACAAGATACAGACGCGTGGATGGTCTCATTGTGTTCAGCTCGTCAAGACGCATCGAATGATATACATGATGACCTCGAGGTCACGTGACCTGAGGTCAACCTTTGACCTTGACCTTTCGAGGTCAACATATATATCATTCGATGCGGATTGACGAGAGGATCACGATGATGCCCTTAGTTTGTTCCTATCTTGACTAATTCGAAAGTTATTCGAGAAAAACTCTCTCCATATCTAGCGCCGCCATTTTGACTTTTTCGACCCCTGTGACGTCATCTTTGACCTGACCTGAAAATGACCTTAGTAAAAATTGTAGACCTTGTCCATGCGTATCCGATGCCGTTTACCGCTTGTCGCTATCTTGCTTCGTTCTCGAGATCTCAGGGGGGGCCGAATCGGCCCCCCCCCCCGCCAGTTTCTTGTCCCGGCGGAGCCCGCCAGGAATAGGGTTAAGACTCCGTTTTCATAGTCAGTCTTTAAAGTACCGCGTAACAGACAACAGTGTGGGGGATCCATCAAGCCCGACCGTGGAAGGACTGCTTAACCCTATTCCTGGCGGGCTCCGCCGGGACAAGAAACTGGCGGGGGGGGGGGGCCGATTCGGCCCCCCCTTCAGATCTCAAAAATTACACATCGCAGCGACAAACGGTAAACGGCATCGGATACGCACGGTCAAGATATACAATTTTTACTAAGGTCATTTTCAGGTCAGGTCAAAGATGACGTCACAGGAGTCGAAAAAGTCAAAATGGCGGCGCTAGACATGGAGAGAGTTTTTCTCGAATAGCTTTCGAATTAGTCAAGATAGGAACAAACTAAGGGCATCATCGTGATCCTCTCGTCAATCCGCATCGAATGATATATATGTTGACCTCGAAAGGTCAAGGTCAAAGGTTGACCTCAGGTCACGTGACCTCGAGGTCATCATGTATATCATTCGATGCGTCTTGACGAGCTGAACACAATGAGACCATCCACGCGTCTGTATTATGTTCCTGTACGGAGTTATTGGCCAAGAACCTTTGGTGACCTTTGATGACGTCACATGACCTCACAGCTGCCCAACAGCAAAACAGACCTCAAGGTAGTGAAGGTTGATCGTATATGAAGTCATGTATGGTATATGGGGCCATTCCGACCCGTTTTGGTGGTAAAAACAGGGAGTTGATTTTTCCCCCATTGACTTATAATGGGGAGGTCGCGAAACTGACCTGACCTTAGGTCACCGATATCAAAATTCCGAGATAAACAAATTGCACATACTGGTACCCTAACTAAAGCCTGAAGAGAAGAAATTGATCGGTCAAAAACTCTAGCTCTGGCGTGATTGCAAACTTTTCTGAGGTAGGGTCACCAAACCGCCTCTGGTGACCTGACCTGAGGTCAGATCAACTCAAAATTTTCAGACATGTTGCGTAGAAGCCTTTTAGGAAAAGTCAGAAAATTTGAGCTTCCTAGCTCAACGCGTTTGGGAGAAATAACCAAAAAACCTCAGGGGGGGGGGGCTCCTGAGGCCCCCCGCCAGGAATAGGGTTAAGTTGAGTCACCGATGCAATTGACATCCTCGTCCCAGGTCAATTGGTTCGGTGAATAGCAGGCCCTTCCTCGGTCAGGCTTGATGGATAGGCACCGCATTGTTGCGCGGTATTTTTAAGACCGACTGTACTTACTACTTAGAACTTACCCAAAACTTACTTCTGTAACGCCAACAGGCCTCGAGTGGTTAGATTTAGTCAAAGTCGCATCATGACTATACGTACATATGCGTACTTAAGCAGGCTCTCCAGAGTGGTTGGTGTTACCTTGGTCCTATGCTGCTGAAAACCTAAACACAGGCTAGCTCAGCGGAATTCAGTTTGGTGCTGCCAGTTGCCACCCCTTCCCCCCTCCCCACACCTACATTAGCTCTGAACGTGACTCTATACGTGAACGTCGAAACAAGACCCATGTGGACCCTATAGAATGAGTTTGATATGGCCCAAGCGTCATGCTTTTTCCTCAGTGGATGGATCAAATGGTAGATCAGCATAGTTAAGGTACTTAACTATGCTGATATGCCTAATAGGTACTAAGTTGAGATAAGCGATGACGTATTTTCGTTTGTTTTACGATCCTGAACAATGGATGCATCATTTGCATATTTGTTGATATAAGGACAGAATTATTTGCTCAAATAATCAAACCCTAGGTGTCATTTAAGCCCCAAATTTCAGATTCCCTTCTTTATCATAACAAAGTGCATAACATTGTGCTTATGTATTGTGTACGACACCAGGAAGGTAGTTAGGTACTTGCAGCACCATGAGCGCAAAATGACCATTGCAGTTCGCGCGCCCTAATGTCCCATTTAACTAACTAGCTAAAGTACCTGGCCTTTAACAAGCTTGTTTCTGCATATTATGCTCCTTGTCTCCCACGGAATCATCTTCCGATGTCTGCTGTGCCAGCGAGGCCGCCGTCCCGTGCAAAAGCGACATCCCGTTCAACTGCGCTGAGCGGATTGTAGACAGCTGATTGCCGCCATCAGCTGATTATGGACAGCTGTTTGCGCCTCCGGCTGTGCTTGACCCGGCGATTGTCGTACGCTGGGTCGTCGTGTGGCCGCGTTTCTGAGGAACCATGTCACCGCCGCGCCGGTGTCTCCCACCGCGAGCAGCGCCGCGCCCGGAAGTGGCGGAGGCTCGCACGAGATTGCGCCGTCACTAACGGTGTGCATGAATAATGCAAATTCATTGTGCAAGATGATTGGGTGCATGCAGACATGTATGGCGTCTGTATACGCCGAGAATATCTGCTGACTAGGCCCTGAGCCGAGTGTGCACCAAACGGTTTGACCATGATCTGCGAAGTGCGAAGTGCATGGATGCGTTGGTCGGGCCTGCTACGAATACTTATTTCGGTATTTTATCAATTCTTAGATAGGTGTATTTGTAATATGCACACTGTGCTACAATCCAGAGTGTAGGAATACCATATGTGTCATTTGTGATTTGACGCGCCCTATTCTACCATCAGACCGAGGGACACGCGGAAGGAGAAGTCACGCGACGCGGCCCGGTCTCGGCGCGGCAAAGAGAATCACGAGTTCTACGAGCTGGCGCGCCTGCTGCCGCTGCCGACAGCCATCACCTCGCAGCTGGACAAGGCCTCCATCGTGCGCCTGACGCTCAGCTGTCTGAAGATCGGGGAGTTCAGTCGGCGCGGCGACCCGCCCTGGCACGGCCCGCCGGCGCACGACGCCCTGCAGAGAGGTCAGTAACAGCTGAGGCTTCAGTCCGGCCGTGAGGCTGATAAGGGGTCAGTCCGGGTCGGGTCGTTAAAGGGACTATCCCACCTTTAACATGGGGTTTGAGCTGAGATAGCCAAGTTTGCGGCGAGGTTCAGAAACCACTATCTATCTAGGTTGCAACCCCCGCGGCCTCTTGGTGTTGAAGAAATTCGTTCCCTTCATTTGAAAATGGGCCTTGTACAAGGCCCTATCTTCAACATGGAGCGACCGTTAGTGTGACGTCACCTCGTTTAGTCATTCTGATTTAAATGGGTTTGTTCGTTGAAAAATCGCTTAAAACTTGGTCTGAACTTTGTTGTGGTGCCAACAGAGTAAAAAGAATCAGCTTTATGACAGTAATGTGGCCTGGGGAAGGAGGTAATTTTGGGCTGTGACGTCACATATTTGAAAGTTTGTGTTTGGAATATGGGAAGCCTAAGATGTTTAATGAAAAATAAATGCCAGAACCGTGTTCCTGGTCATCCAATCTATAAAGTCGGGCACAATTTAACTGGTTTTAACAACATTTTAGAAGGTGGGATAGTCCCTTTAAGGGGTCAGTCCGGCAGGGGGATCTGAGGGTGAGGGGTCGGTCCGGGTCGGGTCGTTAGGGGCTCAGTCCGGCAGGGGGAGCTAAGTCCGGGTGAGTCCAGGTGGGGTCGGTAAGGGGCCAGTCCGGCAGTGGAGCTGAGGGTGAGGGGTCAGTCCGGGTGGGGTCGTTAGGGGTCAGTCCGGCGGGAGAAGCCGAGAGGTCAGTCCGGGCGAGGCTGATAGGGGGCCAGTTCGGGGGCTGAGATCAGTGATATACCATTGATTAATCAGTGAGGCCCGAGGGTGACATTTATGTTCACTGAGGATTTCCTCGAAACAATGCCATGCTCGTGTGGCTGCAAAAGGCCCAGCCGTAGCCGATTGAAACTTGTGAACTCGTGTTTTACCTGCGCTGTTGGGCCATATCACCCCAACCTTTTCATTTACATACCGCTTGTGTTTCGGTCTCAACATCGGCAACTGACTTTTATCCTCTGCAGGTCCCCACATTCGTCTTCGTGGCGTCCCGACGTCAATAGCGGACGCCTATGACCACCACCAGGGGACGCACATACTGCAGGTAGGTGTCCTATGGGCACCACGCGGGTACACATATCACATAGACATTAGGGTCCGCCGAAATCAGTGCTGGTCCTAATATAACCTGGAGGCTGGAAAATTGAACTTTACGACACATCCAGTCGCCGTAATGGCTTTGATCGACCTGTATCGACACAAGGCCTGTTTGATGAACATTGAGCAGTCTCCTTTGTAAGGGTCAAGTATTGTAAGTATTTGTAAGCATCCCCCTGCCCTGTATCGTGATATTGATAAAACCAACGAGTGCCTATTACGGCACGTGCCAGTTGCCACGTGCGACATGAGGAGATCCAGAGGAGCTCTTCATGCCATGATGTGGGAACGGCTGAAAGGATACAATTAAAAAATTGTCTCTAGCAGCTGACATTAACCGACGAGCCGCTGGGATATACCTTAAAGGTAGTGTGCCAGCTTTCCTGGACCGTATGGAGTTAATGGCCCAGATAAGGAGAACCGGATTTTTAGAACTTATCCATACCTTCAAAATTCATGGAAACGTCTTAAATTCTTCAAATTTTGAGTACCCCAGTGCGAAATTCGCCCCGACGGGTTGTCGGTCGTACCCCAACCACATTTCACACCACTATGAACAATAAATGCACACACTGAAATCGCTATTACCGATAGGCTCATCCAATCAAGTTTCGATAAACCCGTTCATCATCATCTCCTGCGGTTTCGAACACGCCTGTTAGGTGGTGCGGTAGACCGCGCCCAAAGCCAGGGCCCCGGTAACGTGAGGTAGCCGAGTCGGGGCAGCGTGCGCTGACCCAAGCCGGGGCCGCGCGTCCTCCCGGTGTCATGTGATAGCCCGGGGCTGTCCGCGGGGATGCGGTAGACCGCGCCCAAAGCCGCGGCCCCGGCTTGGGTCAGCGCATGCTGCCCCGACTCGGCTACCTCACGTTACCGGGGCCCTGGCTTTGGGCGCGGTGGTGGTGCGTCGGGCCGCGCGCTCTGACTTCGGCCAAGAAAAATGTGTCAGCTGATCATTGTCATTTCTGCCACTTTCATGTGGTGAGATGGGGTCATAACTTTAGAGACGGCTGTTTCATATCAATTATTTTACATAAAATAATATTTCCAACCATAAATTAATGTTCGACAGCCAAATTAAAGAAACAATACCAATACAGGCTTAGAATTTAAATTCGACATTGTGTTGTCTACGATTAGACAGCTGATAACTCATTCCCGTACGTCGTAACTCTATAATGACCTTTGCTTATTGTCACATGTGCGCCGCATTCGTGATTGTTGCCGACGCCTGTTTGCAGGTCAGCCCACTACAGTTGTTATACATATCGAAAAACCGATAAACTTTTAGGCGAAAAAAGCACTATTTTAGGCACATTTTTGATTTTTTTTGCGATATTAGGTAAAAACAGGAGCTTCGTATCCTAGGAAAAATAAAATGGGAAATCATTCAAAGGTGGCACACTACCTTTAAGTTTCCCCCTTCACGTTTTCGTGTGATATTTCCGAAATCTCATAAGATATGAGCTTATTGCTTGGTATAGCTTCAAATAAATACCTAGGCTATATTTGAAGAAAGTTTATTGGTTGCAGCACTTAACACGCATTCGTTTTTTAAGTAGCATCTGGCCGGCCGGCAACTATCGTGACTCGTGAGGGCTAGAGTTCGTATCTAAGTAGCATTTGACCAGCCGGCAACTGCCGTGAGGGCTATACATATTTATGCGTGTTAGATTAGGTCAGGTCAGGTCAGGTCAGGTTTGCTTTGGTTTGATTAAGATAGAAAGAACCATCTCCGGGTAGCGCCTCTCCTTCGTTGTTAAAACGAAACGCGCGAGTGCCAGACATTACGAAGTCCAAAAGACAGTCACGTAGACGTCGGCCCATTCTGATTTTTTTATGTGATGTAGCTAATGTATGGGAGAATAAAATATGAAAAAATCAGCAAAATCGAAGGGTACCCATTTTTCAGAAATTCAGAATTTATTTTTTGAATTTTAATTATGTTCACTAATTACTTAATGACGTCAATATTGTGATGCTCAAATCAAAGCCTGATCTATTCCCTACACTTCAAACTTTGTCACATGATGTATTAAGTTCATTTACCCATGTCTAACGAGATGTTTGTGTTGTTCTTGTGTTTCAGAGTTTGGACGGCTTTGCATTTTCACTTGGACCGGATGGAAGATTTCTGTACGTTTCGGAAACGGTGTCCATATACCTTGGGCTTTCACAGGTCAGTTTGTTTACTTGGGCTTCTCAATGTCAGGTCACGGAGCTTCTCTTAGGTCAACGTTCTTGCGCGCTGGTTTTGACTACCTCTCGGCTACGGACTGACGCTATCCCTGGCTTCGTGGCTGGGGAAGCAATGACTATGAACCATTCAAACTGTGAACTAAACTTTTTTTTTGAATTTTGCATCCCGGTTGCACTAAGGCATACCGGGGAGGGGTGAACTAAACTTTTTTATGGTATGAATATGAAAAACATCGATTGATTAAGACGTTCCGTGATGACGGGCTGCTTCTGGCAACTGGGCTCTGCCTACCACATTCCCTTTAGCGGCATGGTACCGCTTCGTCATGGGAATTGTCGGGAATACATCAATGTGATATCATAAACATGACATCGAGCATTGTCAAGGTGGCATTGACTGACATGTTGCACAAAGCATACGCCGCACGGTATACCTGAGTAAAGACACGCCGTACAGCTTGCGGGAACTGCTAGGCTGGCGTCCTCTGTCCAGTAGAGTCTGCATCTCCCCAGCGGTTCCCGGACCGTAATGATATGCGCGGTCTGTGTTTAAGCCGGGGGATGCTGATGTAGGTGATGGCCGCTCGGCTGATCTGTCGCCGCTCCCCGCCAGGACCACACCTTGTGAGCAGCTCCCAGCCAGAGGAGCTGCTCACTTTGCTCAGGCTCAAAACTGGTTGTGAGAGTTGTGTAAGCATTTCTTTAGTAAATGAAGAAGGCGTAACTGCTCCTTCCTCAAAGAGTTACTAGAAAGCTGAAATGTCAATTAAATAGCGACAAGATTGCATGGGCTGGTGCTTCATAAAACCCAGGCATACTCTTAAGCCGGAAGTCAGAGCACAGCTCAGCCTTAGGGCCGCAAGGCCGCTGACTTCTCCGCCGCTCGCTGACAGTCTCCGCACCCACCCGCCCCAGGTGGAGATGTGCGGCAGCAGCATCTTCGACTACCTGCACGCGGAGGACCACGGCGAGTTCGCCGAGCTGGCCGGCCTGGCGCTCAGTCACGGCCGGCCCCTGGCCTCGCCCGGCGAGCAGAACGCCGGACCGGTGGGCACGCATAACCCGGATGGTGAGTAGGGAGAGAGGACTATCGCTGGAGAGACACAGCCCCAAGTCGTCGAAAGTGAGGACTGAAATCGCAACAGAAACGCAGGACCACGAGAGTAAGGCAGGCAGTTTTGATATGAACCTCACTGGGGTGGCAACCCCAAGTCATTTTTTCAGAGATATGTGATCGCCTGGAAGCAACTGACTGGTGGTCACTGCCTTAGCATCGAAACTACCGGCTCTCTCTGTTTCCAGTGAACGGAGCCATGACAGCGGAGACAACTGGAGGATACGAAGGTCTGGAGCGAGCCCTCTGTGTCCGGCTGAAGTCCACACTGACCAAACGGGGCTGCCACTTCAAAACGCCCGGCTACAGGGTTAGTCACATCGTTCATAACACGACGCTTCAGACGAGCCGCTGTGTGAAATGCGCTTTTATATTTTAAAAGCAGTTTTGGGAGAGTGGAGGCTGTGAAACTTTGATCTGTAGGGTTCTCACTGTCATTCAATTTCAGTGATGTATGCGGGATCTGTTTCATCGTAATAATGATACGATGACTGAAATCCCCATGACCCTTTCCTGACCTGTCGGTTTGGGTGCCGACCTACCGTAGCCATTCGTCCTGTCGACCCGCCGATCCGCCACCAGGCTGGTTGACCTGCCGACTGACCTGTTGCCCTGCCGCCCCGCAGGCAATGCAGCTGCAGTGCCGCCTGCGGCCGGCCGTCGACCCTGCAGATTCAGTCGGCAGCACCACCCGGCTACTGGGCCTGGTGGGCCTGGCCGTGGCGCTGCCGCCGCCCGGTGTCCACGAGCTGCGGCTGGACGGCCACTCGTTCGTCACACGGCTCACATTCGACCTGCGGATCGTCCACTGCGAGCCCAGGTCAGTCCGCGAGTTCAGGTCAGAGGTCAGGTCACGAACCCAGGTCAAACGTCAGGTTACAAGGCCTACTTTGCTCTTGCCGAGAAACTATTTTATCAAAAAGGAGAACAATTGGAGCAAAAGATTGAAATTAAATCGCCTTTTGACCTTGGCTTTTGAAACCCTTCGTTTGCGTGTGATTTACAGGGTGCCTCCGTGCGTGGACTTTACCTCGGAGAGTCTAGTGGGACGGAGTCTGTACTCGCTGTGCCATGGAGCAGACGTCGCCCAGCTGAGACAGGCACACCAAGACCGTGAGTAACATAATATTCCAGTTACGAGACTACTGAACGTAATACCTAGAGGGATACTCGAGAAAGGGTTATTGTATGTATATATTTTTGTTTATCTTACAGCTAGTGGGTTTGCAAGGACCACTGGCTGAATATAGGGGAAAGTGCATGCTAATTGAACAACGTGCTTTCAGGCCAATGTACGCGATTGTTCCCATAAACATACTGGCCACCCACTGAGTGTGCGGCTGTGCAGTGCTGACCAAAACAAAGGGAAAGTGTTGACTGGCTGTGTGTATGTGTGTCGGTATGCCTATATGTCTATGTCTATGTCTGTATGTTGGCAGTGCTCACCAAAGGTCAAGTACTGACCGGCTACTACCGGCTACTGAGTCCCACCGGCGGCTACACGTGGCTCCACACCTGCGCCACTGTGGTCGGCCATGGCCGCGCCGATCAGCCCCCCAGCGTGATCTGCGTCAACCACGTCCTCTCGTGAGTAAACACCGCAGGCGGATATGTGTCATGATATGATATGGTGCGTGTTTCGTTCGCAGTGACATGCTTCCCGCGTGAGCATACAGTATTTGCAGTAAGCTACTCGATCAAAAAGTGCACTTATTTGTCCAAAATAACCATCTGCTCCCCTAACCGTCATCTCTCCGATATCTCTGTTTTCGTGACCTGTTCCTCTTGCCTCTCCCTTAACCACCTGTTACTCTTATCCTCAGTTCCTCCAACCCACTGTTTTCCGTAAGCCTCTGTTCCACCACTCCATCCTCAGTCGTCACCTGACTCCTCTGTGACCCTAGCTCTAACCCCCCATTTATTATTGTCCAGGCACCCGGAGCACGCCGGTACCGTCATGGAGAGCTCCCTCCTCGGAAACCACCTGGACCTGAAGACCGACAGCGACCCCAGCGAGCAGAGCCTCCCCGAGAACTGGCGGCATGACACCGGTAAGGCAACTTCACTCCTTTTTACATGGATAGTGAAATAGCGGATGCACCGATTTTTTGACCATTTGATTAAAAAATTTGAATTTGCCCTGGCCACATTTAGTTCCTGTCGCCGTTATTCACGCTGTTTCGTCTTACATTTTTGTGTTTACTCAGTAGGCAAATTATAACGTATGCGTCAGTGTTGTTCCAACGTCTCAGATGTGTCTGTGTTTCAGCGGAGAGTGCAGGGGAGACATTGCTCGCCGATGGAGGTGGCATTAACCGTGGCCACAGAGGGAAGGGACTGGCCGATGCTGAAGACGAGGGCAGATGTGCCCTCGGGTATCCCCACACCGCCGTCAAACGGGAGATGGAGGTTTGTCGCTCGTCTGCTCACTGGAGGCTAGGGCCGTCCTTTTTGGATTGTATTTCGATTTTATCTGAAGTTTCTTCATTCCTAATTTATGTCTGGCGTAGGGACACCGAAGACATCTGATATCTTTCGATGAAAGTCGAGCAAAAGTACGTGTATTTGCAGCGTCTGGTAGGCTATTGCTGGACTCACCACTTCTCTGAATGGTGTTTAGACGTCAATATGACCTCTTGGTCTCCTTTCCACAGATGGTTCTGACATGCGATACAAGCCAAGCGGAGCACCACGAGCCCCCAGAGTCGCCACGCGGTCAGAAGCGCCACTACAGCTCCGTCGCCTCGTCGCCAGGCGGCGGCTGTGCGCCGGGCGCCACCTGCTGCGTCGATTGGCGACGGCGGCGGCGGCAGGAGAGCGGTCCCTCCACCGACTGTCGTCCGGAGCAGTGGCACGGCCCGCCGGCCGGCGCCGCCCGCCGCTCCGTCATTAGGTCCGGCACTCAGACTGAGCTGCCGCCACCAGCCGGGGCCGAGGGCGCGGCGCTGCCCGGTCCAGCCGGCTTCACACCACCTGCCTCCGTGTCCCCTCAGGAGCCGCCGCCGGTCTGTGGGTCCCCGCTGGACCCGGGGTCCGGACTGGGTCCGCGCGGCTCGGGTCACAGGTCTCCTCTGGACCCGGGGCCGGATCGCTCCCCGCCGAGTCAGGAGCCGTCACCATACGGTCAACCGTTCGGCAGGTCCCTGCCGAGGCTGGGACCGGCCTTTGGGGACGTGCTCCACGGGCTCCACAGCTCACATTCAGCTGAGCGGCCACCGCTAGAGGCGATTCGGTCGTTCTGGTTCGTGCCTTAGATGTCGGAGCCGACACCGGACGTTTTCACAGGTGGGCTGAGGTCCACAGGTGCGCGCATACGTACTTTATCGTAGTCTGTGCTTTCATCCGATATACGCTGGGTGCGCGTACGATACGTACGAAATGGGACCAATTGTGGTGGCGACTGAGCTTGTATTACGTCACAAGTGCCAGTGTTAAATTGAGGTGCCTTAGAAAGACGTTGGCTGATTGTTGAAAATCATATCAATGTGCCATTTATATGGAGGACTTTGAATTTCATGTTGCGTGCCTTGCTTCGGATTGGGCTGGGTGCTGATGAGTTAAAGCGAAACTACTCTGGTGTGTTGTAGCACAGGCAAGTTGCAGGACCAGTTTACCCTGGTGACTTCTTTCGGAACTACTGGGTATAGATTACTTGTAATATAAGTGGCAGGTGATAATTCGCGAGGATGCTTGACTGGCACTATCGACTAGGAGCATAAACGGTGCCATATGAATTCGTCCTGCTCGTTCAACGCAGAGGTAGTTTTACCGTTTTTGACGATCTGTGATTGTAAGTACACATTGAAGGTGCGTTTCTTTTTGGATTTCAGTGTCTTCTCTAAATAAGAATGTATTGCTTAGTATAGTGTGCGACGTAGTTCGCTACCTGCAAGGTTTTGGATGACTTTTATACATTTTTATATTGTGTTGTACTTTGATGTGTAGCCATGCCTCGGTATTTATAATACAAAGGACAGTGATAGCAGTTAATATTGACAATGAGCGATGACAACAGACACGAAAGGAAACCACACCGCTATTTTTTGTTTATAAATACCTGACCTCTGGAATTCTTGTTTATTCAGGTCAAGAACCGATATACAGGCAGTAATGAACTGTGTAACGCATAGGTAGGCGTACCTATCATAAAAAAGACAGGACACACAAACATTACGTTGCTAAATCCAGCGGCCATCAATCGAAACCAAATATCCGGGTTTTGTGCCCATCCCATTGCACGTCTCCCAGCGTGTGTATTTCTTCATATTTAGACAATTTTATACGGAAAGATCGCCGCCCTCTAGGCTCCCAACGGAAAAGAGGCAGCTTTAGCTAGAGCTACTGACCGTACTGACAGAGAAGGCAGGCGGCGCAACACTTCAAGCCTTGTTGATCGGTAACTAAACCCAACTTCCAGGTGACGTTTATACGTGACTTTTAAGATTAACGAAGCACATCAAAACTTTCTGCATATAAAACTTTATTAGCGCTTGAAATGACGGCAATAATAGTCCATTCAAAACGATGACAAGACATAAAGAAACTTCCGACCCGTTCAAACATAACACATCAACCGCACAAATAAATAGTACGCTGCCCGACTAGCCCCCACACCTGTCTCATTTTCGAACTTCAACCCTGTATTTACTGCTGTCGGAGAGCCCCATCCACCGGTCGAACCTCTCCCCGCTCTCCTGTCCTCCCCTGTTTCTCCAGCACGCACCATGGCCACCTGGCGCCGGCGCTCCTTTATTACATACGGCCCCCACTGAGCGAGGCGCCTTACCTCACCCACTAATAAATAGAAGACGAGCCACCGACGTCACACAGACACTGACAACGTTTGTAAGCCAGTGAGCCAGCTCTACGATCTTAGAGTTGCTACTCATGTAGTCAGAGGCGGATCCAGCTCATATTTTTTTTTGGGGGGGGGGCAAACCATAAGAATTTATCGATTCTTTCCATGCCTCGTCCATGTCCATAGGCGTAATGTTAAAATTATGCCGTTGGGGGGGGGGGGCAAATGCCCATTTTGCCCCCCCCCCCCCTGGATCCGCCACTGCATGTAGTATTTGAAAAATATGTTTGTTGTCTTGCACTAGATCCGGTATTTTATGGAAGACTGGCTTCACGTTTGTCTTACGCTCTCTAAAATAGGTAAGTATTGTTCTATGGACCGCTGGGATGCATTTGCTTGTATTGGGACCATGCATGCACTTTGCGATCTGAGATAAATTTAACAACCGACTCTGAATGGCAGTGAATTGCTTACTATGTAAGAATATGAATAAAAGAAAGTGAACTATATCCCGCGATCGATGTCTCTCGGACGACGAAGATTCTACGTCGTTCGGCCGATCCCGCTCAAGGCCAGAGGGGGCTCGGCTGCGGTTATGGAACGTGATTGGCCGGACGGCGTAGAATCTTCATCGTCCGAGAGACATCGAACGCGGGGATAGTTTTAGCCAATTGGGTATGCGTAGATACGAGCATTGCTATTCGTTTGTCGACTATGGAAGACGATATAATTCAATTTCCCGTAACAATTAAAAATCAAGTCAATAATGCAGGAGAAAGGAGAAGAGCAAGTGTTCCACGCTGTATGTTGAATGCCTCATCAGAGGCGGATCCAGCTCAGAGTTTTGGGGAGGGGGGGGGGGGCAAACCATAGAAATTTATCGATTCTTTCCATGCATCGTCCATAGGCGTAATGTTAAAATCATGCCGTTTGGGGGGGGGGGGGCAAATGCCCATTTTGCCCCCCCCCCCCCTGGATCCGCCACTGTGCCTCATATTCGTTTGAAGGACATGCTGGTATTTCCGAAGTCCAGAATTGTTGTCACATCAATCATGGGTGCCATATTAATCCATGACATGACGGTCAGCGGCATCAAACACGCTCCCTAAGCTATATGAAGGGACAACAGATTAGCCGCCGTCATTGCGGGCGGGTGCCGCCTAATCTACATACTTCTGTGTCGCGGCACGTGCCGCTGACGGCGCGCCCGACGCGGGGCGCCACGTCTGCCACGTGCCGGTACAGCTGCGCCGCTGGGCCGCGGGGGGAGGGGGGGGGGGGCAGGTGCGTCGGCCGCCGGTAAGTGACCAGTTTTCCGCCCCACTGCCTCTCGGACTCTCGCCCTATCGCCGGACATCTATTTCAAATGAGGCCGGCAAATAAAACGGCACACCACAATAATAATGGATAAATTGGCGCCTGATTGTTCCCGGCAGATGGGGAGAGATTCAGACAGGTGACGGCGATGCAGCGCCGGGGGCAGCGGTGGACGGTGCGATAAAGGGAGGACCGGGGGCAGCGGACGGTAAGGCGGGGAGGGCCGGCAGGGACAACTGGACCGAGGGATGACCTGTGAGACTGAGGGATGGTCGGTAGGGTAGGCCTGAAAGGGGACGGCAGGAGTGATAGAGGCCAGTGGAACAGAAAGAGTTGGGTATGACTTTCATGAGTCAATCAGACTGAGTGAGAAGACTTGATTGACTTGATTGAGAAGAAGATTCAACTTGATTTATTATACCTAGTGGTTAGGTATTTTTCATTATTTTCCAACAGCTAAACTTATTAGAGCTGCGTCCAAGAGGGTCAATTTTAATAGCAATTCACAAAAAGCTACCTTCGGCAATGTTACTTCAAATCAAATTCACACTCTAACCATTGACCCAATAAGAAGAGAATATCAGTAAAGAAGCGACATATTTTTTTTTTTTTTGCACTGAATGGTCAAAGATATCATAGGTACTCGTAGGTACAATATTCCCTGCTCTGGCTAACACACCTTACTCCGCTCTGCTCACTTATGATGATTGACAGGTCAAACGTCTTAACCGTGCTGTTTACCAGCCGTCCAAGAAACATTTCTGATTGACGAGGAAATTCGGCCTACCTACTGTTTGTCAGCTGACCTTAGATCTAACAGCTGAGGTGGGGCGGTGACGTGTATCAGCTGACCTGTGACGGCTGACCCGTGACGGCTGACCTGTGACAGCTGACAGGTCGGTCTGAGCCCGGGATATAACCCGGCCGCGCCCGCTGTCGGTCACAGCCGCTCTCAGCTCCGCCAACATGAGGCCGCTGGCGGCTCTGACGCTGCTTGCCGCGCTGGTGGCCCTGGCAGGGGCCACCTTTGGTACGTACTGGAGACCCTATTAGAGATCACAGTTCCTTTTTGGAAGTGCGTAGAACGCATCGGTAAAACTGACAGAGGCTGACTGATTTGACGAACTCCAGGTACAGTTCTGAATTAAATAAAAGTCCAAAAAATTGTATAGGAATGCGGTAATTTATTCTCACGTGCGGCAACTTCGCAACATGAGTCTCAGAGCGATGCCTAATACTTATTATTAGTATTATTATTAGGCCCCGAACTGTTATCTCCCGGGTACTTTTTTCCATTGGATACATACTTTTAGACATGTCTACCTTTTAATACTATGCTGGTGACTTGAAATCACCCTTTCCGTTTCAGTGTCGCGGCCTCGATGCCCGCTGACCAAAAGTTGCCAGCCAGCTAGTGTCAAAAGCCTCTGCCGGCGCAACTTGGACTGCAGGAACGGAGCCAGCTGCTGCCAGCTTGGCTGTCTGCGCCGCTGCTGGTCCCCGACGTCCATCAGACCCCGGCCCCGTCCGCGTCCGGACACCCGTCGCCGTCGTCGCAGCTCCAGCGGCCCCAGTCGCCGCCGTCGTAACACTAGCGGCAACCGTCGCCGCCGTCGTAACTCCAGCGGTAACCGTCGTCGTCGTAACTCCAGCGGCCGCCCTCGCCGTCAGCGTCGCTCTCCGCAGCTGAGGTGCCGTCCCCGCTGCCGTCGGGGCGAGGTGTGTCGTCTTCGCCGCGTCTGCGGCAAACTCGGCTGCACCCGAGTGCCTAGGTGCCTTAGACCGGTTGTCCGACCGCGTCCACAGCGTCCCCACTGCCCTAAGGGATGCCGCGGGTGCGGCCTGGTTAAGGGAGTGCTTAAGTGCCTCAAATGGTGAGCGGCAGGGTCTAAGTATGAACGCTCCTGAATCCGACCACAGGTTGCGCCCAGAACGACATTGATCTGTGATGTCAAACGACATATAATAATATGTTGACCAGTAATCCCAGCTCGACCTCTTGACCCCATGTCGACCCACCCTTAGTCCTGCCTGATAGTCAGTGAGGATTTGACACAGAACGATGACAAGTCTAATTATGAACATTTAAGTTTTGACATTATGAATCACTAAAAAATCACTAAAAAGCGTGTTATGAAATTAATCGATCAAGGCACTGCTTGGAGTATTTCGATATTTTCTGCTGAATAAAAGTAATGGAAATTTTATGTCTTTATTTGGAGGGGAAGAGGCACGGTAGAACCTCGCTGAAAAGCAGCACATCGTCTGTCACGCGGCGGACCCTGCAGGGGTCTCAGGGCGGTGGTGGGACAAAAGACAACTCCATAAGCCAGCAAACAGGAATGCCAACTGTAAAGCAGCACAGGGCGGAGGGCGAAGGGCCGGGCTACCGTGTTGTCTGATGTCCATCGATCAAAACACAGCTGGAGAAAACCAACGCCAAAAGTTATTGCGCCAACGCTAGCGCTATTGTAAATTATCTCCCTTAGGTACTGGCTCAGCTTATTTTCAGAATTAGATCATAGTGTTATAAGTGCCCTGTTTCTAATACATGTTACAGGGAGTCAGAACACAAGCGAGCTATAGCAAACGGGAACCGAGACCATTCAGGGATATCGAGGCATGTATTAGAAACAGGGCACTCTATCATGTGGGATGAAGTTAAAATTTTGGACTATGAGACGAACTGGGGTAAACGAAAGGTGAAGGAGGGGTTTTATATTTCCAGGGTAGACAGACAGAACAGCATCAATATCTTACCCGGGTGGGAGGTGCCGGATATGAACAGGGCACTGCGTGTATAGGGCAAATTCCAGTGGGTCTGAGTGAGCTATTATAGGCACACTTAGTTTAGGAGTGTTGAAAAATATGTACGGCGGTTGTATGTGATTATTCGAGCGAATATGCGAGCTTGTGCGTCTGCGATTGTAAAACGATTACGAACTTACGACTACCTTCGATTAATTGTCTCGATCTCGGTTGTTACGATCACGAACTTACGATGACTGTCGAACGTTTGGCACGAATGTTATGGACGATTACGTCTTAGTTCATTAATATATGTTATGGAATGTTGGTCAAAAAGAAAGAGAAGTCAGCGTTAGGTATTTTTCAAGTATTATAAGTATTAGTATAGTTTCATTCATGTAATGTGTGCTCACGCTCATTTATGGTGTATTCGTTTGATTATTTTGTGCATCTGTGCTTTAGGCGTACGGCTACAGCTTTTCCTCGAGGTGATGTTTTTTTGGTAGGTGTTTGAGACGTTTGAGACGTATTGTCTTGTATTCTAGTGCATTTTAAAGCACGGCTGACGAAGGGAACAGAAGCTTCCGAAAGCTACCGAATCAATATATGCATTACTGGTGTCGAAGAATTGGTTCCTAAATACTTATAATGTCCCAGTACAATAATTCCATATTAAAAAAAGCGACTCCTAGTTTCCTCACGGTATATCTGACACATGGGACCGAATATAAAGGGCCGATCATTGGTCAGGAATTAGTTGGAAGTGTACTTAGATGTGTCAGCATGACAGCAGGTGCTGTTTAGTTCATTTAAGGCGGCCGCACACTAGGCCATTCGGCGGGCGACATTCCGCAAAAACGCAATTCCGTGGCGACATTACGCTTTCGTGGACGCCGAATCAGCTGCCGAAACGACAAAATTATCAGCCGACCGCTGCCAGCTAGCTGTCCGCGGGTAGAGTGCGCATGCGCGCGAACAGCCGCGGAGTTGCGGAAAAAGCTGGACCGGTTCAGCTTTTTCCGCGGCGACGCCGCGGACACCCGAAATTGTGGAACTTGAAACTCACCAACTATTGATGGAGCAGCCGAGAAATAGACTTCACTTGATAAAAAATCGTAGCGGCACTTCTTTCCCCATATTAAATGGTTTTTATACACTTCATTGGTTATTCCAATAATGGGTTACTATGTGCCTCTCCACAATTGTCTTTAGGTTTCTTGCATTTGTCGACAAACACGGTTGTTTACATTAATCACGAGCTTTATTTTTTTGCAACTTCCTCCAGAAATTATGTCAAATGAATAGATATTCAAAAGTTTATTGTACAGAAATATAGCATAATCGCATTAAATAAGCAAATATTGTATTTGCTTAAATGTATTTAGTTTGCATTCGTTTATATTTATCATAAAAATGTTTCACATAAAGTTCCTGAAAATACTAAGTAGAAAATCGCACCGCCGAATGGTCCTGTAAACTGCTGAAAACAAGCGGAAAGCCGCTGTAGGAATGTCGCCCGCGACATTCCGCTTTTGCGGAATCTCGCCCGCCGAATGGCCCAGTGTGCGGCCGCCTTTAACAGTTGGGTTTCATACTGAACGACATCAGAGACGCTCCATATCGGCAAACGACAACTACTTTATAATGTTACGGTGACGTTATCTAAGTGCTACAACCACCAGACTTTCCTCAAACATTGCCTACATAGGTATTCATTTGAAAATATGTCAATTTTTAGGATCGTGGCTCATCAGGTTTCGGATATATTCCACAAAACGTAGAGCGGGGTAACTTTATGCCCCCCCCCCCCCCCCGCCAGTGCGTGGCTCGTGGGTTAAGGCGTCAAAAAGGCACCAAACGTCGCCGATAGCTGCGTTTCAGCACTCTGTTTTCAGTTTGCGGCAATGCTATTTGATAATGATAAAGTCTTCATGGTAATTGCATTTGCATTGTGCGATATACAGCAAATAATCGATTCATTTGGATTTCGCTAGCGCACCAGAGCAACAGTCTCTATGGCAATGGCATAAGATGGGCTAGCACTGACGGACTCAATAAGGTTTGGTGATATTTCAGATATTCAAAGATTGACAGCCATCGTTTTTTCCCCTTTTTGCACAGAAAGATAATTTGACAGCCTTTTGAAATAAGTTTGCTTTAAATTGCACAGCAACGTACAGGAAAGGGCATTCGAGGCATGGCTTGTGAGCACATTTTTCCTTGAAAATTGCTTCATAAACGCTATGCTACTATGTGTAAAACGACAAAATACATCATAATTATGGGCTAGAAATCGGCAATGGGCATGGGTGTAAATGGGGTAGAAATCGGCGTCTGATTTTGTGATGGCTCTAGTGCATGTTTAGGGTGGTGCTATTTTTCATCGAGGTGGGCACCCAAGTTCCCTACCAATATTTTGTGTTTAGCTATCCATATACCTATTGTGACTTTCAGTGCACCTGCACCACGGTCATTTTAGCTGTTAATGCTCATTTCGTGCTCATTTATTATTTTATTCATATTTCTTCAAGGGTTTAGTGACTGATGTCGCACAGCACCCAGCCGAAGTGTCAATCGAACGAGAGCAATCCGTTTTTCTGGCAAGAGAAGCTGAAAATGTGGGGGGGGGGGCTTCGTATTACGCAGCTGAACAACACAAAAGCGACGCATCATGATCCGTCTCTCTGCGAGAAGTAAAAGTCGAGAGTGATATCATGCGTATGCACCATATAGCATCTACTTTAAACAAGGTGTGTGAAACGAACGTTGCACTCCCCAAAAGCTATCCCTCTCGGCGTCCGCCATTGAACGCGGGCTCAGCTCGGGGTCGGTCGGCGGCGGCGGCAGCGGCGGAGGCGTGACGGGCCAGGTGAGATAGGCCACGCCCCGTCACCTGTAGCGCCGCTCGTCGCCAGCAGTTGGCGGCAACTTATATTAGCGCTCAAATCACATGTTCAAGTGCTGAAGAGTTCAATATCTATACTATTTAATCTCTCATAACCATGATTGTCTTCAAAGCAGACAACCGGCGGTATGTTTCGCCGACTCGAAAATATCTTACCGCCATCGGCTAAAAGAAGCTCCAGAGTGGCCTCCGTCGCTCCCGATGCTGAGGGGAGGAACGGAGGAAGGGAGAGAGGGGGAGGGGGCAGCGGGGACGGTGCCGCCGGCTCGGCCCTCCCAGCCGGCACGGACAGTCGGCCGGCTGCATCTGTGGCTCCCGTTCTCCAGAGTGGTGGTCGGCGCCGACCCAGCTCCACTCTCCGAGGACCTTTCCAGGTACTGTCCCGACTCCCGGAGAGGACACGATCGCAGCCCGTCCCTACACGCGTCTGCACCGACCCAGCAGGGTCGCCCCAGACGCGTCGCGCTGCAAGTGTGAGGCCCAGCAAGTGTTCGCACACGGGCACAGTTGTGTGGGGCAGGGCGTGCGACGTGTCATCTCACACATGGCCGCCGGGGCTGCTGGACACAGCCGGTGAGCCGGCAGCTGTGAACGCCAGCGGGCCCGGTACTGGGCCGTACTGCACGGTACTGGGTACCGCAGCCAGCCCAGCTGTGTTCAGACAGCTCACCAGGCGATGAGCTGTCTGTGGTATTCAGGTGGTGGTGATACCTACCCTTCATCTTCACACGGACGTGCGCTGCGACAGACCACTTGCAGTGCGACGCTGGGAACAGACATACGCAATTTAAAATCGAAAAATATTTCGTGTCTGCCGTGTGGATATAAAGTACATTTGATAAAATGATAACTAACTAGAAGCTCATGTAGCTAGAACAATGATATTGCATGTCCCAGCTTCAACTGAAACATATTGCTCATCTTAGTTTTTTTTTTGCATTTTTCTTGAAGATTCAAGCAAGCCTTCGACTTCGAACCGATAATCCTTGTTTCTCGTTGTAAATGTTGTTTGCGCCGGAATGAGTAAAAAAGTCCTCATTGGCCGTTTTCACGACGGAATAGCAGGCATCTATTTAATCCCCATTTGATCCTTTGGTTCCTCAGGAATTTTAGTAGTTCTTTTTAGTAGGTTCCCCAGCTTTCGAATGAATGGTGCGTTAGTTTGCTATTTTTCTATTAAATATCACATCGATTTACTTTATCTAAGGATTTATCACTAATATCAACATAAAGCGTAAGCACAATTATAAAATTATGAAATTACTAAATACTAGTACAATAGTTAAAAAAAGATACTGAGTTGCCAGGCTACAAAGAATATATTCATTTATGGCGCACGACAGACATTTAGAAAGCAGCACCCTGTTTTATTGCACGCTGCTAGCCGCTTCCATTGGGTTTTGCAGGCCGACGTCATTGGTCGTTACACGTATGATGTCACGCGACTTGTGGCCTGTCACGGCTCTTTAATGATCTCCACTAAATGAATGCAACAATGGCCTTTTAAGTTGATCTCTGTGGCCATCTGTCTATGGAGCGACCAATATGAAAGTT